GGGCACGGTGACTTGCGCGTGATTTAGTTTATAGTGGTAGTAGACTTGCACAGCATATGCCGCACTCTCTCCTCCTTCCCCACCTGGACCTGGTGTCAAGATAGGGTCAAGAATGCCGGCGGCAGGGGAGGGCGCAGGTGGGTGGCGCGGTCGAGCCCGCACCTTGGCGTTCCACTTTACACCTCTGGTCCAAACAGCAAATAATTAGGTTTTTGATTCACAACAACAATGGGGGGATAGTAGGGTCCCAGTTTGCGCGATGTACGCCGGCAACCGGGTCCGCCACCGCACCCCGCACCCCCCAAATGTTGGCATTTGTTATGCTGCGCATTTCTATAACGCCAGCCAGAATCCGATACGGCCCCGTGTAGGTCAAGGGCATCTACCACGTGGCCCGTTTGGGAGGCAATAGTCACACCTATACCACCGGACGTGGAGCGTAATGTTCTACGAGGAGAAGTCTGACGAAAGGAAGGGGCCGCTAAAAATCGAGTATCTAGTTCAACTCTTTGCATTCTGTTCACAAATCCTTTTCATATTCAATGGTAGAGCATACAAGCAAATCGAAGGAACACCGATGAGTTCCCAAATATCCATCCCGATTGCAGATTTGGTCCTATATGGGCTGGAAAAGTTGGGCAACCACTTTAAAACCGCGTTTTGGCGCCGGTAGTGGATTACACATTCGTCGTCACTGACAGAGAGGCTATTGAGCTTTCAGGACCTAGGCTAGATCGCAATTGGTAGCCAGGACCCGTATTACAGGTGGCGGGAGGGTTTGTTTACTGGGGCTATTTTGTGAAGCTCCATAGTCGCATGTGATCCATTTGGCCTCCGTTTTACGTTTGGCTAAGATTAGGATACCGGTTAATAGTTTCCGATTCTCGAGTTAGGGTTATGCCTTTAGGTTTAAGGGTTACGGTTAGGGTTTGAGCGTACGATCAGGTTTCAGTATTACGGTTAGGTTTTTCAGTTACGGCTATGCCTAAGGACTACGGTTACGTTTGCGATTTCGGTTAGGGTAGCCGTTAGGGTTAACGGATAACGTTGAAGGTTGAGGTTAGGGTTAGGGTTAAGGTCGCCGTCCGCTTCTCCATTCCTGGCTACCAACTGCGATCTGGCCAGGACCTACTCTACGGCATTTTCCCCAACATCCAACTGACAAAAGAAGAGAACGCCGAGCAGCTACCCTTCCATGACGTTCTCGTCACGCATGGACTCAATGGTGAACTAAACACCACAGTTCACAAAAAGACGACTAACGCAACCCAGGTCCTCAAGTATCGTAAAAACACCTGATGGCGCATAAATGTAAAAACATTAGGAAATACTTCGTAATGGTAAAAGTCGCTGCAGGGATCAAGAGGGGAGAATACAAGAACTGCATCTTCGGTACCAAGTATCCAATAGAGGGTACCCAAAAAAAACTTAATCACCCACTGCCACTATACGCGCCTATGAAGAACAAGTGGGAGAAAGCCAAAACACTCTGGCACTCTGCCGTACATAAACAGTGTATCAGAATCAACGAAACGTATTGCTCCAGAATAAGGCGTGGGTATAACCTATCTCCCGGCCGCTATTATGTGTCAGAATCATACAGATGGAAGATCGGCTGGACGCAGGTGGACAGTTGGACGCAGTTTGTCAAATTCTTTGTCACAACTGTCTCTGATATTACACAGCCCAGACAGGACGACGACTCGGCTTGTGAACACAAACGGGTCGTTCGGAAAGGCGACCCACAGCCTGAAATCGCTACTAACACGCTGAAGGATGGCGGGTGCTGGCGCGAGCCGTCAACAAGACGGAGGACTGCTGAGGGCGTGGCTGTCTGACACAAACTCCATCAACGGACAAGTCCATCTACCGCCCACCTATCACGCGCTACGCCAGCGTAGTCAGGCGATACGATCCACTTCCGGTTGAGGACGCATGCCGTGAGACCACTGAAGTTAAACTTCATCGACACATGCGTGCCTGCCCGTTGCTGTTAAAGACTGTCATCAGATCAACTTGGTTGTCTAGTAAAAAGCCCAGCCAGTTAGGTGGCAATTACCTGATCCCTTCAACTCAGTCGTCCGTGACTTTATGGAGCCTCTGGAGTTCCAACCACCTATTTCGACTGAACTTGGAGATCTTTTTACTGTCGGACACAGAGATACGAACCCTCGTACTACAGGCTGGCTTCCGCTAAATTCCAAGGAGATGCCTATTCGCATGCCCTAACTTTGATTTCAACCCTAACTCCCTAGCATTTAGCGTAAAGCCCCCTGTTATACGGGAGTCCGTATACCCGAGTTCTACCATTTTTACTTTTTCAATATCATCCGAAATGTTGCTATTCATATATTCTAAAGGCGACCCCTATTCTTGCCTGTTTATTTAGTGCCACTTGCCACCACTAGCCAATTGAAACAATTGGACTAGCACCGACTGTCATCCACATTCGGCCAGAAAAAGTTGAAAGGCAGATCACTGGCGACAATCTGACTCTACGAATGAGGGTTTCCGGTGGTTGAAATGAGGCCCCCAATAATGCTAATGCTCACTTCGATACGTGTTAGTAACAATATTGGGAAACACAGGCGGGAGCGTTCTAGGATTATTTGTCGTCATCAGCCGGTCAATTTCTAACCCCAAATCCGTGACAACTTAAGGTTCGAACACATCTGTGTCAAACGCTCTGCCGGTCCTACCGACGGAGACACACCAATACAGCCTTCGTTTCTTATGGATCTCTGACTTAGTCTCTGCCTTGAGGTTTATTTTACCTTCTCGAATTCGACTCTAGTATGGAAGCCTATAGTGTCTCGTTCCTCCTTCGCCTTTGATTTTCTGATTGAGTCCTCCGTACCCCGGTCTCAATTTCGTATCCGATGTGCATCAGTTTCTTGCCCAACACCGATCTTTACATTTCCGCCTGACCGGAAGGAAAACAGGCAAAGTTCCCAAGGGATACACGTTCAGGTACTCGACTTATGAGTCGTCAAAATGATCTGGGGGTCAGATGACAAAGTCTCGCCTTTCTGGTCGAAAAGCCAGCTGCCATATCTTAACAGAAGATTTTCTTAAGGACGGGTCACGATAGGAGGGTAGAAAAGATCGACGGTGATTGGGCGCGGGAATGGGGCCCCGATGCCAGCCTCATTCTGTCTTCCCGTTCCCAGGCCTCAGTCGACGGTCTGAGCCCGTCAACCATTTGGTACTTGAATTGGGCTCAGTAATTGACGTGACACGAAGGTCTACGTCTAGGCGTGTCATCGCAGGCTTTCACGTACAGCAGTAGTTATGAGGTCGCACGGACTTGGTGCCGCGTCACAAACGCGTGCGTGAGCTAGTCTGATACCCATTTCGGCCCAGCGCGACCAGTTGTGGGGGTCAGAGCTTCCCATAGATGGCAGTCGGCGAACTTGGATCTAATAATGGTTTGTTAGTTGGAGAGCAAATGCGACAGATGACCGGGTTTGGTTCCGTTTTCGGCCACATTTCATCTGCACGCGCCGTCTTCTAGGCAGGTGAGCTTTCCAGCCTCTCAGAGCTTTCAACTTAGCGTGCCTTCCATCAAACTTAATCTGGCCTTGAACAGAATGAAACCTTTAGTAAAGGTAGTTCATGCATGCGCCAACGCGTCGATCTTCGCCCCACCTACCGCACAGTCAGTCATTCGCATGCGAATAAAATATCTCATTAAACATGACGCCAGCCCGGTGCTGTTGAGGGCTTTGCTCGATGGTCAACTGAGTTGGGCTCGGAAACCCGGGATTGCATTGCTACCGGCTGATGAAAGTAGGGGCCAGAGTTGGTTCTATCCGCGTGCTCTTCTTCCTCGGCAGAGATCCTCAATCAAATGGACCCTGTCGACCGAGTCACGTTACCTCGCTTCGGGAATGTATACTACGGAGTCCTATCCCGCAAGCCAGCCCGAATGAACGAGGCCAGGCGATTCAGCGTACTAGACAGCTAGATCGACGACAGTAGATTTGCTAATTAACAAAATCGGGACTTGTCAAGCGGCTGGATGCGGAGATTAAATCATGGATCACTGTTGGGATCAATGACACGATATTCCTACTTGGCACACCCGCCCCATATACCGCAAGACGATGTGAGAGAGCAGGTACCCGACCGGACTGATCACCGCACTCCTGACTGGCAAGAGCATTGACTTGGCACATAGCCAGACATGGCGCCCAAAACTAAGTAGTGGCAACAATCTGAGACACCACGGTCTCGGAACGCCAGTAATGCACATGTCCTCTAAAAAGGTTACGAAAAAGAAGTTGAAACCGGGAGGCACAACACAAACCCACCACAGACATAGGGAACCGGAAGTGGTGCGTACCATCGTCCGTCTTCAAGTCCAGGGTCGACCATCAAGATATCGTAGTATAAGGCGTGCAACCGCCGCATGAATCTTTTAGAGGACTGATGAAATATCCGGGTAACTCTAGCTATCATCCTTCATGACCACTTGGCGAAGACGGTGGGTCGCCCCTTTGCGCGGCTCAGCACGATGCTCAAACAGCATCCATGAAAGTCAGCGATTGGGCAGACATCACGCCGGCGTAATGCAAATGATGGCTTGCGGTAGGGAAGTATCACACGAGGCTACAACGGGCTGTCGAGTTCCCAGGGGGCTCAAGCGAGCTGGTAATTTTGATCTCAAGTGCGATCGCCTATCTGTCTCGTAAACGAGGCTATGGTAGTCACTGCCTCGGAAAGCAACGGTGACGAAACAACCCAACCTATTAGCGATGGGACATGTCAGATCACAAGCTCAAGACTGTAGAAGTCCAGTTAACGCTAGTGGAAGCTGGAAGGTTATGACGCGCTTTTATTTGTCATTAAAGGACACCACGCAGGAACATGGCCAGAATGGGAAATGGTTGCGAGACAATGGGCGAAAAGTAGAAGTAGAAAAGACACTGTGATTCCCCTTACTGTTCAATGTACATTTGCAATATAATAAAAGACAACAAAAGTGAATAGGTGCATTTTTACAGTTCGACGCGCTTCTTGGACGGTTCTTCTGGGGTCGGCTCTGGCTCCTTCTCCTTCTCATCAGTCTCATTTTCATCCTCCCCTTCATCTTCATCATCCGGCAACGAGTCTTCACTCGATGGACCCTATGGACATTTTAAAATAAAATCTAGAATGTGACGCTTACCGATTCCTCGGCCTTCTTCTTAGCTTCTTCATCGGCCTTCGCCTTCTCCTCCTTTTCAAATTCAAAACGCTTCTTCCAGTACTCGGCATGCTTATTACACTCCTCGGTATCAGTTGTGATGATGAAGTTATCAAAGATTGTGCCCGACTTCACCTGCCATAAATCAAGACCTAAGGCCGTTATGTGTCTGGCATAAAGCTCAGGATCGTCATTATAATCTGGATTGTCAATTTGCGGGTGCACCCATTCACCCTTGTAGGCAGGATTCGGGATCTGTTTCGGGGACCATTCTCCTTTGTATTCTGGATTATCAATTAGAGGTGCAGTCCACTCTCCGTCAGTAAGATCATCCCAATCATCAGGCTTCTTGGCATCTGGGTCTGGGATGGTTTTGGGCTTGTCCCAATCATCCGGTTTCTTGTCATCGGGATCGTCAATCTTCTCCTCATCAACCCAATCAGACGGCTTAGACACATTCGGGTCCTGAAATGGAAGGTGTTATTCGAATAAGTCCTTACGTTAATCTTCTTAGGCGGCAGCATATCCCAGTCCTCTGTAAGTGAGCCTTTGGCAGCGCTTTCCTGATCGATCAGGATTTCGTAAGTGTTGTCGGGTTTGACGATAAGCGTGTATAGGTGAGTCATTGTGTCTGATTTGCAAGGAACTTCCTTTTTAATAAGGTGATTTTGTCCTTTGTAGGAGAAGATGAGATGCACCTTCTTCGTCCCATAGCCACAAATGTCAGGTCCTACGAAAAGTTACACCCCAAATACTCACTTACCGAACATAATTTCGTAGTCGGTGTTGCCGTTAAACTTTTCAGGGACAAAGTCCTCACCGAGGAGCTTCACGTATCCACCACCACAGTCGATATCTTGTTCGTGCTTGACGGTGAATTGGACACAGAGGTCTTTGTCCTTAGTGTCTAGCGGCTTCTTGAGCATCGACGACATGTGATAGAACTTAGCATCCTGTGAAGTCTTAAGTCCAAAATCCTCTTTGGCATCATTAACGCTTTTAGGTGCAGCGTAGATGAATTTGCCCAATGTATCCTTGCTCTCCTCTGAGGGCGTCCAACCTTTCAGTGACTCTGAGGGAATTTAAGTGATTTCCAGGACATGAACTCACCATCCAGAAACCGCTCCTCGAAGTAAATGGACTCGTTGCAACTGACGAGGGCAGCCAGTTGCGCCACCAAAAGGTATAACACCAGCATGGTCCCAAAGACGCGGTGAAGTGAAGAAGCCAATCCCGGATGGTAACTTATGTCGACGGATCGCGACCTCGGGCGAAAGCAATTGGGCAGAAACGTCCAGTAATAGGTTAACCAATCATAACCTCCCACAGCAATGCTGATGTTTACCATTTTAAACAAATGGCGTGGAATTACTATGGTTGAATTTCCTAATTGTGCTTTCAGGGAGTTGACGGACGTTTAGACCTCATAATTTATATGATAATCGGAAATCAAACGTCCTCTATCTTGCAGAGGATTTTGTTCAAGGATTCAGTGGGTGGAAAGGGCTATGAGAGTTTGTTTCTCCTTGAAAATATGTTTCAACGCTGGAATGTTAAGTATGCTTGTGCTCCTTAGCCATCCCTGTCGTCACCTAAAGAAGAAACGGACACTCATTTAGTGTTATATTTACGCTTATTGCCATTGAAACTGCACGCTGGATTTGGTTCAAAGAAATCCGTTAAAATATGATGCTGGATCGAACTGTAAATCAACAAAGGGCCATTACAGACTAGTTTGCGGATAGTGGAGCGTTATGTAGGTCCCCTTTTGTATTTGGTAGTCAGTTGGAAACCTCTAAAAGTCTGCAGCTTTCATGATTAGAGCATCCTTCTCCAGGAGCACGGGAGAAACAAGACTTTGTGTCTACGTATACAGCACTTGTGGAATCCAGGATTTCGCTCCATGGAAGGATTTGCTAAAATCAAAAAACCTGAAAAACACAAGGACAGGCGGGCGTTTTTACGGCAACCAATAATGTTTGCCCTTTGGCCCGTCGGCTGGTCTTTGAAGTAGGGGCCACGTCAACTGTTATAACTGACCTCCGCCGCAGCTGTTTGGTCAGCTGATCTTTTAAGGTGTTTTATGGAGATTAACTTCAGGGAGTAAACCTCTTGTGACCCTTGGATTTTTCGAGACCTGGGAAAATTGCGAAATGAAAACGCGGCACTTGCATATGGTGAAATTCATAATTTCGAAGACAAAATCAAAAAGAGAATTTTTCAGTGTGAACAAATGCTTTTAGTCCATAGAATTAGCCCTGTTGCTAAAGAGATGCAGAACGTCCGAAAAATCGCTTTGAGCTCAAAAGTCCGTCGTTTATCAGAAGACAGTAGCAACGCGGAGACCAGGTGTGCAACAGATTAAATTAGGTCTAACGTCAGCTAGGATTCCGGTCTCAGGAACCACCCAGGACGCCTTTTTTAATGTAACTCCGTGCTCTGGCTAGTAAGCTTTATACGTAGAGGACAGCAGAGGAACAAAAGTGTGTATGCGATGACTAGGCCCTTGTGATACTGACGGTCCATTAAGATTCACTCCTAGGCAATTCAAAATCACACAGAAAGTGATGAACTTCCAAAACGCGGTCCGAAGAGCCGTGAAGTTATTTGTTTTTTACTTCAGTATGAGCCGGGCAAAAACATATCAAAGGCTCCCTATTTTTAAAAAAAATATATGTAGTCTCTAGGCCCAAAGTGGTAACCATGACATATTGTCTGGCAGCATAGAGTGTTAAACAATATGAGTAAGTCGAACTAATGCGGCCGGGTGGTAAAATACTAAAGTTGCTTTCCGCACGGAGCCCCTAAGGAAAGTGCTAAAGTGCAAAGTGCTAAAATTGCACAAGGCACTGTTTAAGAGTGATATTGTGGCCAGCAGCATAGACGAAGGTCTTATGACTGCACTTTTAGTTCAGTGCATGCGAGAGTAATAGGCAGTGCTTTTGAAGACCTTGTTAAGAGAGACGGGGACCATGCACATCAGAATAACGAATATACTGACTATGGAGTCAGTAATATAATTACTACTTGCATAAGAACAGGGCAATGGGAGATTGAACACAGGCATGCAGAATAAGTTCTGAGGACTACATGTGATGAGTAACACACAAATTTGGGGTCGGTATGACAAACAGTTAATTAAGAGCTGCAGAAACTCCTTTTATATCCGAGATGTATTTGCATGCAAATATGAACCCGTTTTGTCTTTAAATGACCCTGCCTTGTCGACTACTATGCTCCTGAAAGTCCACTTCAAGCACAAAAACTGCTCGTCGGAAGCGATACCGGCTTGCGCCGATATTCGTGAATATTTCACGTAGTTTGTGGGAATTACCACGGAAGTTGTTAGTAGTCGCAGGTGCAATGCAATCACTGAACTTCAGTGTATGGTCATGATTTCACAAATACTGGAAGGTATTTATGAACTACCTTTAGGTCTATCTGCATTCCTAAGGGAAAAGGTTAGGCTCAACAAGCTGCATTCGTATAGTACAAACTTCAGGTCATCCATATTTTTGCCGTCCATTATTTAGCATTTCCTGGTGGTCTAGAGTCTTTCTTTTTTAGAAGAGAATGTCACGCCTGAATCCCATATTTTAGGTATAAATGGAAAAGGGCCTGCATACTTTGGCAAATAATTTGTTATCTGTGTTTACTAAAGGTCTTCCAGTGCGAAGAGAATAGCTGTCGAATTTATGACCGCGTTGGCGTATTGTGAGAAGGCCTGCCAAATAATCTTCAATTTAGTTCAGTTTATTAAGGGAAATAGGGGTAAGCCTTTGAGTACCCCATTTATAACGTAAAAATTTGCGATGTAGAGAAAGATTTTCTGGGCTTAAATAATTCAAACGAGCCCATAGTGGTAGGACAAAATGGGGGGGGGGGAGTTACAGGGGATGAGCTCGACCTCTCATCGCTCTTGGTCATTTCGGAACATAATTAGGTTGAGGTTCCTTTTAAAGCTTTGTGTGGATGGTGACATCACAACATCTGCAGGAAGGGCATTTCATGGTTTGACCACTCGAACAGAGAAGGAGAACTTCCGCACATCCAGCCTTGCCTGTTGAGTGCACAGTTCAAACGGGTATTCCGAAGTACCTGAAATAATGGGCACCTTTTTCCGATAGACATTTGTTTTAATCAGGGTAGCAGAATGAATTCAAAAAAACCCGTATACTAGGAAGCGTCTTTTAATGCATTGGGTTTTTCGAACAGGGACTGAGAACACGTCCGTCAAAGAGTGGTTCGAGGACTAACATAAACACAAAAATATGCAGCTCTGCCTTCCAATGACCATGGTGACTTTGTAAATAAAACTGCACAAACAGACGTTTATTCAGTTCAGTTCAGTTTATTGAGGGAAATAGGCGTAAGCCTTTGAGTGCCACATTTGCAACGTATAAAATGTGTGGTATACAGAAAAATGTTCTGGACTGAAATAGTTTTAACAAACCCATAATACTAGGACAAAATGGGAACGAGTTATAGGGGTGAACTCGACTTCTCATCGCTCTTGGTCATTGAGGGCCAGGCTGCAATCCAACCCCTTTGCAATGTGGAATGCTTGCAAGAGATCCCCGCGAAGTTGCCCGTGACTCAAAGGAAGAAGGTTCACATTTACTAGGCGGGCTGCATAATGAAAGGAGCTTTGACCCCTAACCATCTTCGTGGCCCTCCTCTGAACTCTTTCGAGACAGGTTTGATCCTCAACAGCCCACGGCCTCTAGGCTTCTATTTCGTACTCCATTTGCCGCCGGACGAGTGTTCCGAATGTGTTTGAGAAAGCATCTAAGTCGAGATCCATGCTCTCACGCTTACTGGCGTGCAGTACAAACACTGTGCTTTTTGTCACTCTCGAACAATGGGCGGATGATATTAGGAAACTCGTCATCAGCACACAGAAGTCCTTTTGGGCTTCGACCTCTTGCAGGGTTGCACCGCCCAGAAAATAGTCTCTTTTGTTGGCGGATCTGGCTGCGTTGCATAGGCGAAGTATGCTACATTTTTCAACGTTGAACCACAGGAGCCAAAGGCTTAACCACTCCTCCAACCGATTTAGGTTCACTTGCAGGGTGTGTTCGTCGGCAGGACCCCGAATTACACTCCATATCTTCATGTCGTCGACAAACATCGCTACTTCGTAGTCTAAAGCTCTTGCAGTCTCTGGGGTGGCACAGTGTCGAACGCCTTCTGGAGGTCCTTGACGGCTATGTGGACCGCGGGTCGGTGGTCGAGATGTCGAGTCCAGCTCTGGAGCGAATGCAACATGTTTGTCGTGCAGAATCTTCCTTTCCGGGACCCATATTGGCATTTCGATAGCAGGCTATGAACATCCAGGAAATGCATCAGTTCACTCTTTATGATCCTCTCCATAAATTTGCAGAGAATGCATGTCAAGGTTATGGGCCTGTAATTTGTCGTCGATGCCCTACTACCTTCTTTGTATAGCGGAGTAATATGTGCTAGCTCCCAATCGATAGAGAGTGTTCCAGTGTCAAATGACGTTTGAAAGAGCATTGAAAAAGCCACAGAAAGCTCACTGGCAAGCTTCTTGAGAAGCTTGGGTGGAATCTCGTCTGGTCCTGACGAATTCGATTCGTTCGGTGACTCTAATTATCTCCGGACAATGCCTTCTGAGGGGAGTATATCACTGATGCTTGGGGTCGGCAGTTCTTCTGTGGAGGGAGGAAGGAATCTTGCCTCGTTAGTGTGGACTGATTGGAAAAACCGTGAAAAATACGCAGCTTTATCCCTACTATCAGCGATCTCAACGCCATCAGTAGTCTTTATTAAAGAGACCTAATGTCTGTTCCTTGAACTTCGTCGGAGGTAGCTGTAGAACAATTTTGGGTTCTGCGATGCTTTTTGTAGTAAATTCTTCTCTAATTCCCGCCGCGTTTTTCTAATCATGTTTCTCAGTTTGTTCCTTCGTGTCTTGTAAGTGTTGAAATGTTCGACTTGCCTAGTGACGCAGTATTTTCTCCACAATTAGTGTTTCCTGTTGATTTCTTTCCTTAGGTTGCTATTTAGCCACCCAGGGCGTTTGTCCAGTCTTGTATGTATGTATGTATGTATGTATGTATGTATGTATGTATATTGAAGGGTTACAGGCAGAGCCCTTGATGACCCTATTTATGTACAGTGCTTTCGCAGATTCATACTCAAAAATAAAATAAAATTGCAGGCATTTAAAATGTG